CTATCCTCCTGGAATCAACTAGCCATTTTGGAGTCACCGCTGGGTCCTTCATTGCCCAGCATTCTGGCCTGCTTCTCAGGGTGACGCTGGAGCCTCCACCTGGCACACTCCAGACCCAGTCCTTTGTGTCTGCCCTTTTCTGCCTCATTCCTGCCTTTTCTTTGGCTCCCTCCTCTGCTGCACAGAGGGCCATCCTGTGTACTTAGAGACCATCAATGCGAAAGCATCCGGAGACTAGAGCTTAGGCAACATTCCTCCAACTTCTGAGTCTCTGAGGGAGGGAGAGGAGCTGCAGGCCCACAGCCAACACCTGTCAGCACCTATATCTGCATGAATCCTCCTTGGCAAATCTGACTGCATGCTGCCTTTAATTCAATTCATCCTGTGTTTGAGAAACTTGACGTTGTTAAGAGATTAATTGCTGAGCTGAGGAGAGAATGTGAATTTGGTGTTGGGAATACAGTCAACTTGTAAAGAGCAATGCTTAAATGAAACCGTGGGATGGAATTTGACAGCATTCCTAAAAGAAAATGAAAGACAGTGAACAGAAGAAAAGCAGAAATGAACCCTTTTCAAGTAGGTCTGGAATCATTTGTGGTCATACCCATGAAGGCTTTGACATTAACAGTCAAAATGAGAGCAGAGACATTCAGGCAGTGGCAACTGAACCTCATTGTTATGGGAGAAACTAGAGCCCATTCTCAGAGCAGATGGATAGCCACGTGCATACTGCCAACAATTCCATCCAGAGGGGCAGAACAGAGCACCCAGTGGACACCAGCAGACTAGGTGGAGATGATTCACACATCAGAGGTGAAAGTGGGAAGGAGGAGGCAAAAATGTGAAGAAACCTCCCAGGGGCAGTGACAGTGATCTTCACTCCCCTGTGTCCCATAGCTTCAGGGAAGCCCAGGTGTCCTGTCTGGACAGTATTCAGAAAACCACCATCATGAGGCCTGGAGAGCATTCTTTCATGCTCCTCCCAGGATAGTGAATCTGCATGCTCTGACCACTAACTAGGTTTGTTCTCAGTACTCACTGAACACAGCCACCTTTAAGCTAAGGGCAGACAGTGAGTGTGAGACCTCCAGGAGAAGGGCAAGCCCACAACTCACAAACAGGCATCTGCTCGAGAGAATGGAAGCATTTGTGCCTTTTGCCCTATTCCAAATTCCACACCTCAGTAGCCAACTGTTCCAGTGGAGATAGTGCTTGCTAGGAACCAGAAGCACCATCCAGACCTTCTTGTAGTCACTGAAAAGCTTGTGAATCAGAATCAGTTCTTCAAGATGAAATCCCTTACATATGTATGTGGGGGCCTCCGTGGTGATGCAGGGGTTAAAGACACAGAATATCAAGTTATCAGCAGCACAAGTTCGATCCCCAGTCAGGAAGGTGACCTGTGCACATGGCGCAGCAGACCTCTCCTGTCTTGCCTGCTGTTCTACTCAAGTGTATTTCAGTACATCTGCCTGTTCTGCTTCCCACTCTGTGTCTGGTGAACCCTCTCATCCCCTGCACCTCTGGCCTTTACCCCAGTTATTGTATGCATAAATAAATAAATCTTTAAAAAAAACCCAAACATGTATGTTTTGGGGATGACAGGACTACTCACTTTTCCCATATCCATTCTCTTCCTTTTAAGAACCCTGCTTTTGGTGGAGGAGGGTGGCTGTGTGTTTATTTCAGTCCAGTCTGGGGTGGGGGTGGGGTGGGGAATAGGCAGGATGTGATTGCATTTTGGCCAATGAGAAACACTTGGGAGAAGCTTGGGCTTTTGGGAGAACCCACTGAAAGCTGGCCAGCCCTTTGGGTCCTCTGCTTTGCCCCGCCTTCCTTCTGGAAAAGCAGGTGTGGCCCTGCAGGTGGCCCTCACCTCTCATGCCCACTAGTCACCAGAGACAAGCCAGAAGGGAGCACAGAAGCACGACTGGGTGTTGAGCCTGGATCCCACATGGAAAACTTCATTCCCGACTTACCCAAGTCACTGGTTATTCAGGTTTTTCATTATGTGCAACTGAACAGAATCCTAGCTTATAAATGACTCACCCTAAATGTCCCATCAGCATCACAGCCTTACATTTTTACACATTTCAGTTTTATGTGCCTTATGATATTCAGCAATTAAATTCTGAATTCTCTGTGAAAAAGGTAAACCCCGTGAACACTGCCAGGTTTAGTTCTGAGGTAAAGAAGGACATTTGAAACTTAATTGGCTGTGGGTAATAAAAACTGGTTTTTCTTCAGTACTGAGCTGAATATATTTGATAAAATGTACTGCTGTGTAATTGGATTATAACATTTAGAAAGGAATAAAAATTGGTTTCACTGGTTAGAATAATGTCTATATCATGACCTTAACTAAATCATTAAACACTTAATAACAGGCACTCTGGCTTTGACTCTCAAGTACCAAAGAATTGGAATGAATACATATTTTTCTTATTTAAAAAGGGTAACTTGGAGATTGAAAAAGTTACTTATTCATGCAGTCATTGAAATTCATCTGTTGCTTTTTTTATATTCAGCAACATAAATTTCTTAAATGCTTCCTATTTCTCACCCCCAAAAAATCTGAAGCAGAGATGAAGTGTGTGTGTTTGTTTTTAGGCTATTTTTTCCCCCCTTCCTTTCTCCATCTTTCTTTCATCAGTCAGAATGTAGCTTCCTCTTCAAGAAGTATGTCCATTCACGGAACTCATGAGTGAAAGCAGCGTGACAACTCATTTTTTTCACATCTGAAGATAAAAATGAACCTGAGGAACCCTCTGGGGTGCTGCCATCATCAGAAGGGCTTGTCATGCCCTCAACCCGGGGCACATGGACCTTGGAGAGCAGCAACCATCACGACCCCTTCCGACTGGGTGTGGCGGTCTCAGCTCTCAGGCAGATGTTGGTCAACACTGCTGCTGTCATTTTGCTTTAAAAAGCCTCTAAGGAAAGAGCTTAAATTTACTTTTAAGCACACAGTGGTGGCCTAGCCCTCAAGGGTCAGCCAGGCACACGTGTAGGGAGTACGTGGGGGGAGCAGCAGGAGCCTCTTGTTTCCCCCACTGAAACTCTGAGGGTGCCTTTTGTCATGTTCGGGTCAAACTGAAGATGCTGGAACTAGGACCGGCTTTGGGATGTTGTTCAGCATGCTGGGTTGACCAAGTTAAGTTGTTAAAGAATTTGAAACCAGAATTTTCAATCCAGCTTCTGATCACTACACTGGATTATGAATACCTGGAGCATGAAAGGCAGACATTACAGTCCTGTCCGAGTTTTTCTATCTTTACTCTCCTCTTATTACTGAACCTCCTTTTTTGTTTCCCAAACTCTCCTCTCATCAAAAGCTATGTTCCTCTTCCCCTCCCCCCATCTCAATCTTCTTTGTGGTTCTTTTGATCATTTTTGTCTCTTTCACTTTCTCCTTCTCCATCATGTCCTGCTAGGACAGCTCCTGTGTTGCTTTATGGGGCATATTAGGAAGGCTGATGGGCCCTTCTGTAGGTCAGGGAGCTCGTGCAGGGTATGTTGAGAGAGCAGAACTGGAATCCAAGAAGTCTGGGTCAGCCTTAATTCTACCACAAGCCCATTGTCTGCTGTTGGAGAAGATCCCTCTCCTGGGGCTCCCTCTCACCCCGGCAACATGTGGGCAATGACTGAGTAGCTTGCTAAGGTCTAAAAGATATTGCTTCTCTGGGGGTTCACAGTTTACTGGGTCCATGACTAATTATCAAATTTGAGTGCTTGTAAGACCCAACTAGGCATATGTGCTTTAGTGAGCAGATTCCAGGTTCATTCTGCCACAGATCTCAGAATGGCACTGGCATACTTCCTTTCACCACACATAGGCCTGAACTGGTGGTAAGCCTTTAGCTGACTCTTGACATTACCCCACAGAGAAAAATGTCATATTTTCATTGTTCCTAAGTCCATAAACAGCTGACTGTTTCTTATGCTGCAGAACAATTAGAAGTTTTAAAATAAGAAGAATCGGGTTGCTACTTACTAAACAGAGTGTGGACTATGTTCCATACTCAGTAATACACTTATTGTGTATTACAAACATACACCAGTTCACTCAGCCACCTCCAAAGCAGCATCACAAGATACATTATTTGAGACAAATTGAGACTCTGTGGGACCAAACTGGTTTGAGCAAGAAGCTATGGGGTTGCTCACAGCTTACTACAGGGAACATAGGGGGAGTGGTGGTAGCAAAAAGGGACTGGGAAGCATGACATGGGTGACAGAGACAGTGATGGAAAAGTAAATGAGAAATCCAGACTATTTCCAACAGGATGCCAAGAGGCCTGCTGTGCACATTTTCAAGAAGGACATACAAAAATCAACTGTCAACAAGAAAGTCATTGCCAGCTATGGTGGGAAGAAGCCAGGAGTGGGAGGAAGAATATCACTCAGGCACCAGCAACACAAAACAGAGGTGTTTCCACAAACAAGACTTCCATTCTTAGAACATTCTTTGTATAGGGGAGGAAACAGACCAAAGCTAGAGATCTGTGGCAGCGTGATAGTAAGTAGGCAGCAACTGGAAAAGGAGGTGTAACATGATAGCTGAAGTTTAACCATCAAAAGAAGTCCAAATCTGCACACTGCCCAATTACAGGATGGAATCGCCACCTCCAGACAAGCTCCGTGAAATGAACATCCTCTTCCCACATGCCGTTTCCCAAGATGGACTTTGGATCCAAAGGGTCCACATTTACAAGGACCCTCTTGTTATAGATCAGCTTTCTCCACAAACTGATTTCTGCCATCAAAAAGATCACACATATTTCACTAATGACCAACAGCTTCTTAGGTCAGAACAGTCTGCCATCTGAAAACAAACATAAACATGGAAAAGCCAGTCTCCACGCACAGTATCCTTGCACTAAGAGCACAGAGTCCTTATTCTAGAGACAGCAGTACAAAGTGCTGCATGTCTGAATGTGGGAGAACAGGTATCAGAACCCATTTCTGGAGAAAGCAAAAAAGCTGGAAAATGAACTCACACTTTGAAGTAGCCCTCAAATTCAGGGAGATCCCTGTTCCAACCCACCATGAGGCAGGGCTTGGCTGAGTCATCTACATAACGGCAATGCCCTCATCTGGGCCATCACTTCTGGGACTCGGAAGTGGTGTGGATCAACGCCAAGTTTTATGACTAGAGCGATTGTTATTATAGACTCTCTGAAGGGAAACTAATGACTCTGTAAAGCCTGGACTTTATGTCCTTTCAAGAAACTTAGCACCCACCTGTCAAAGACAGGGTCTGGGTGCTTTATATGAAGAATCCCTGGGATGTGAGTTCAGTCAGTCACAGACTCTGTGACCAGCCCTGAGAGGGAGCACCTGCCCTTACTTTCATGAGGCTGATTGTCTGAACTCGAGAACTCCCTGAACTAGAAGGACCAAATGAGCACTTACCACAGCACTGAGACAGCATCTTCAGTGCTTTTGAATCCACCAGTTTTTCTTCAGTTGGCCACTCCTAGATTAACTAGAGACCCGTTAGGTCTTAACCAGATTTCAAAAAATAATAGTGTAATGAAATACAATGCTATTGATTTTGTCACACCTAATAATACAGAGCTAATGTGATTGGTTAATTGTTAAAAAAAAAAAAAGACAGAAAATCTAAATACTGAAGGAGAAACCCATTCCAGAAACTTATTCTCCAGAGAGAATAAGATCCAGTAGGCATCTGAAATGTTTCCTAACTTTGTCCTAATACTACAGTCACATCTTGATGATGTCAGTGGGGAGGGGGTGAACAAGGAGCAATTAGAAAGAGCCATCACAAAGTATGGACATGAATACATTTGAATTAGGACTACATTCAACAGAAAGAGCATAGAGTAAATATGATTAGAAGAAACATGTTTTAGCTACAGGTAAAAGCTGGTTACAACTCACCACACAATGCCATTATTTTGAGATCTAATAGCTTTTATTTAAAGACACTAACACAAGTTTAAATTGCAGGGACCAGGAGGTAAGTTTTTCTTTAAACCTAGTAGTGGTTATTTTTTCTCAAGCATCAAGTTTCCTTTAATCTTCATAGTTTCAGAGAAATTTGTAAGCAAAAGATAATTCCACAGATTAGTAACAGGCAACTAAAGAAAGGAAAACTGGGTACTTGGGTTAAGTGAAAAGACTTGAAAAGACCTAGTTACCTTAACTGAAGGAACTATGGCAAATTACTCTCTGTTTTTATCACATTGAGAAACACACTGGAAAAGTTTCCATAAAGTTGCTTTATAATGTGAAATGTTTGCAGATGTAGAATTAGAAAGTGTCTTTAATCTAACTGAAACCCATTTCCTTAAGATTTAAGATTTTAGATCTTAGAATCTAAGAGGAAGAAGCAAAACACTGTAGTATACATTCTAGGATTCTGTTTCAAAGAAATTTATAAATAGACAAATCTACACTGTGATGTTAGAAATCCTAGGACATTGTCCTGGGAGAGGGAGGTATTGATAAGAGGGACACAGGTTGCTTCAGAGGAGCTGGTGTTTGGTTTCTTGATCTGGTACTCGTTACATAGAAGTGTTCTCTTTGTGAAAAAAGTACTGACATGTCCTACTTACAATATGTGTACTTTTCTGTATATAAATATAAATTCAAGAAATCAAGAGGCTAACAATCAATTGTACTGTGAAAGCTTTATCTGGATTTTAGTTTGAATTGTACATATGCATTTATGTATACTGGTTAAAGATGAAAACTAGATTTCTGGTGGTGAACTTAATGTAGCACCTTGATTTATAATATTATAAATCAATGTTACTTCAAGAAAAAATTTAAAGAAATATGTCATTTTTTACAGTTCATACAAAGTTTATGTTAATTATTATATATATGAGAATATATTTTTTATGTATATCTGGCCCTATGGATAAGGCAAGTAAGGAAGGTTAGATACTGGCTAATATCATATAACTGATGATATTAATGAGTTTGCTATGATAATGGTATTTTGATTGTGCCTCTCAAAGCCTCTTTTAAGTATAAACAGAAAATTTCAAAAAAATGAAATAAGATGGTTTACATAAAAATGATTCAGTTAGAGAAGGTAGACCAGAAATAACTGCCATATGACTGGCCAGGAAAGTTACCTGGTGAACTGGACAATGGTTTTATGGTGACTCATTATACTAGTCTCTCCACTGTTGCACATTTATTAATTTGTTAAAACATTTTTTAAATAGTAAAACTTAATTAGTAAACTTAGAAAATATTGTTATGACAGATAATAAGCTAATTTCAAGCTTGTCAACTTAGAGGCCCATTTCAGTAAGTGGATGTGGGAAAAACATGTCAACATAAACACAGCTGTCATCTATTAAATCACCTGTCACTAGCATGGCCTTTACCTACACTTTTTCTAAACTTCCAAAGTTCATTCTTAATGTTTTTTTCCAACCAAAAGCAAATCTGAATGGTGTTAATCCAAAATTTCATCATCTATTTCCTTTTTGAGTTATGTTATCAACAAATATCATCAAGCAAGAAATATCAGGAAAGATATAACCCAAGAGAATTTCAATTCAGGGGAGGAAACCACGTCACAAAGCTTCTGAGAGCAAAAAGCCAGTCCCAAACTATTTTATTTGTACATATATTTGTGAGCATTTATAAAATGTTCAATATACAGGGCCCTCCCTGGTGGTGCAGGGGTTAAAGTCTCAGCACTATCAAGCTATAGTCAGCCACTGTGGCATGAGTTCAATTCCCAGCCAGGAAACTGACCCACATGGCCCAGTAGACCTCTCCTGTCTCACCCACTGCTCCCCTCAGCAGTATCTTTCAACAGATCTGCCTGTTCTGCTCCCCACTCTTTCTCTGGTGAATCTTCTCATCCCCTACACCTCTGGCCTACACCCCAGTTCTTGTATGCATAAATAAAAATGTTCAATATATAAAATTTCCTGCTTACACATCTATTGATTTTCTGGCAGGTAGCTTGTAGCTCTCATAGAATTACTTGGATCTAAAGGAATGTGCATTATCTAAACATGTAACAGTCTATAATCTTGAGTTTTGATAATATAAAGTGCTAGAGGGCTATGGTCTGTGGCTAACACAACTACCACAAACTAGATAGCTGAAAACAACATGAACTGATTCTCTCAGTTCTAGAGGTCAAAAGTCCAAAATCAAGACATCAGCAGTCCCTGCTCTCACTGGAAGCTGTAGGGAAAATTCTGTTCCTTATCTCTTCTAGTTTCTGATGGCTGCCATCATTCCTTGTCTTGTGGCTTCATCATGAATATCTCTGTCTTCATTTTCATGTTAACTTCATGTGTCTGATCTCCCTTGGGTGATCTTATCCAGACACATGGGATGGTATTTATGGCTCACCAGGATAACCTAGAGTAGACTCCTCTCAAAATGCTTAATGTAATTACATCTGCAAAGGCCCTTTTTCACAGGTTGCAGGCAAGAGGGTGTGGACATATTTTGGAAGCCATTACCGGGTTACCTCAATGTCTTTCATTACTGTTGTCTGCTGTGCTGCATTCACACCGGCATTCTTTCTGTGGCTCAGGTTGGCTGGTTCTCTTCAGCCACATCCACAGGGAGCAACGAGAGTTTGACTGCAGGCCCCTGGCATACACTTCCCAATATGTCTTCCCTGTTAATCCCACCTCTTCCCATCACCCCAGTAGTCTTTTTTAGCTGTAATATGCCAGTTTATCTCTCACTTCCTACTAAAGGTGCCAAGTTCTTCTGCTTTATGTTCTCCTTCACAGATCAACCTAGTGTTTTACAGCTGATTATGTAACTTATGGCTTTCTCTCCCTTGTAAATGCCATAAAAATAACTCATATATGACATTTACTTTTATCCACTGTAAGATCTCAAAAAATATTTATTGAATACATAAAAAAACTAACTGAAGCTACACAAGGCTTAGAATTGCTGGCGAATGGCAGAGGCCAGCATCTGCTTCAAAATGGATATAGAAAAAGCCAGTAACATGAAGATACGCAGTGTGCAGTGAGTATTGATTCTGGTCTTTGAGTGAGGTGGGGGTGCAGTGGACAGGGCTGGAAGGACAGAGGGTGCTCTCAGGAGGGACTGAGGATCCTTGCAGGGGTTGCCAACTCCTAAGAAGAAAGGAGTCAGAGTAACTGGCTCCTACTAGCTCTGACACGCAAGTAAAGAGTGACCAGACTTGGCCAGAGAGTTACACAGCTCCTTAACTAAGGAAATAACGGGAAATACTGTGATTTCAAACCCTGATTGCTTTCTAAGGAGTGTAGGCCCTAATGACTAAAGCTGATTTCTTGATTTCTGTGTTAAAGTGACTTTGAGTAAGCAAGATGGGGTGGTGTGTAGGGTGGGTAGCAGCTGAGAGATCCTGCATGACGGGGGGAGGGCAGAGAGCAGGCTGAGGGGGAAGAGGATTGCCTGAGAGTCTTACATGCTTAAGAGCAAGAGGACTCCAGAGAAATGTGTCTGGAGGCAGTGCAGACAGGGCTCTGGGGACCAGAGTGTCCTACTAGTTGCTGTGATGTGACATAAACACTCTCTCCCATCTCTCAGCAGAAGCCACTGTCTACACTGACAAGTCATGCCTTTTGGATCAGTGAATGCTGGGAGTGGAAGCCTGAGGCAGCATGGGATCTGCATATGAGCTGAGACTCGTGTGACCAGACACGGGATCAGTACATGCAGGAGCTAGATGAGAGGTCAGGCGAGGTCTGGGTCCTACTCTAACACACGGGAGGACATGGGTCTTTGTTCCCTTCAACATAGGTTGCTCTGAAGCTGGGCAATGGTGATGGATGAAGCAGGCAATTAAAAGAGCATGACTGCCTGCTGGACCTGCAAGCTGCTCCCAGCCAGCCAAGGCTTCTCACCCCTGCCTTTGCATGCCTATTCCTCTACGCTGACCTAAGGACACAGCCCTGAGGAGGGGTGTGACAGCCTGTGGTGTGCTGCTGAGGCGATCTGGAGTTTCAGCCTCTATAAAACTTGGAGATTTGGGGGCAGGGTATGTGTGTAAAACCAATCCTCTGTGGCCCCCTAAGCCACAGTCTCTAAGTAAGTTCCCC